TGTTTAAAGAGTATATGTTTGATTCTTAATGGTTACATTATATTTTTTAAGAAATTCTTTTCCTTTTGTAAGTAATGTCATCTCAGAGGAATAAAAGGATAAATTCACCTTAGGTCAAACTAACACATCTATTTAAGCATTAACTCATGTGTTTGAAAGAGCTCAATCTCCACATGTTCTGCAAATAAAAACCAGGAACAATACAATAGAACATGTTGTGTCCCATAGAAGTCTGAATAACCAATTACTTAAAAGTCTCACCATCTGTTCTCATCGAAGCAGTAAGACAGGCATTTCCCCATGCTGCAAACCATGATAATCAGAATGTAACAGAATGAGAAAAGCCAGCATCATCTCCTCTCTGTTATTTGCTGTGGTGGTTTTTAATGAAAACTTGAGTATACAGACAAAGGAAAGGGGAGGCTATTCCTCTGTCCCTCTCCTAATTGAGCACTTCTGTGCAGTAATAGCTTTTTGCTGCCCTGGGCAGCATGACTTTGCCTCATTTGGCCAAGCACAGCTATTATTCTAAGAGGCAGCTAGTGAAGTGCCCCAATCCATCTGCTTGCTTTTTTCATGGGCTGGTGCTTTCCTTGATGTTGACAGCTGTCTTAATATTCCTGGGCCACCTGCCACACAGTAAATACTGTGCTGGAAGATAGATTCAGTAGTTTTTCCCTCTGGTGGAGTTTTCATAACAGAAGAAGCTCAGCATTTCTAAACTCATCTTGAATCCTCATTTAAAGGCTTCAAGGATCAACACATTCTGTCGATTCTCATACGTTTGAGCAGTATGGTACTGATGCTTTGGGAATGGCAAATGTTACATGTGACAAACGAGGTTTTCTCATGTATCATATAGGCTGCTGAATTAATCTTTTTGTTCAAGTGACAGTCATGGGAGGCAGAGAAGAGGGCATTCTGGCAGTTACTGCCTTTAGGAAGCCTTCTAGGAACCTGTGATAGGTCTACCGAACAATTTCCTTTCTCTTACCCTCTACACATCTGTTTCCCCTATCAAATTTGTTTCTTGAAGGAAAGCATTTGGTCTTATCCATCACTGTATCTGTGTGTCTCTAAAAATAAGCATGGATCTGATACATCCTGGCACTTGAAAGGTTTGTGGGATCTGAAGCTTCTATAGCTTTGGGGGATTTCTTTAAAGTAAAATAATTTAAAATAAAGTGGAAAACATAAAGTGACTTAGGATATATTGGAATGAAAAAATAACCATGCAAATTAGCAGTTTTAAAAGATTGACTATCTTACAGACTTAGCAAAATCTATAAAAGTAATGTATTTTTCTCTTCACTATTTGGCATATCTCTGTAAATATATTTTTAAGATGTGGCAGCAATACTCTTTGAAAGCTCTTCAGATGACGAAGAAGTTCTAATTTCATTGGATGTACAAAACAAAGGAATTAACATAAGTCAACCTTTCGTCTAGTTCACCTTGTCTTGTTTGTTGTTCATAGAAAGGCAACACTAGATGCTGACACCCACACACAGAGTTTACTGTACCACTATATGTTTAAGCCCTTACAAGTAAGAAGTCTGAAAAATTCTATTTTACATGGTTTATAGCAAACAAAAAATGGTGCGATTGTAGGTATAAAACTGTATAGAATGCATTGTGGAACATATTGTTATAATACAATTTATGTCAATTAGAAAGAATTCTTTCTCTTGCAACTTTGCCTTTGGATATCTGGAGTTATACAAGTCACTACTGCTGCTGTATATTTCTTTTTCTAAATTTAATTTTATTTATTATTTTTATTTTAAGTGTATGAGCATATGGCCTGCCTGCATGTATGTAAGTGCATGCATGCCTTGGAGGTCAGAAGACAGTGTCAGATTCCCTCGAACTGGAGTTACGGACAGTTAACTGCTCTGTGGGTGCTGGGAATTGAACCTGGGTTTTCTGCAAGAGCAGCCATTGCTCTTTATCCACTAAGCCTTCTCTCAAATCATATTTCACCTTCACTCTTCACGTGCTTTAGTGTCAGGACCCCTAGATGTATTCATGTCTTCACAGAACCCTGTGTCTTGGATGTAATGCCTGATGAGTTGCACAGGGAACAAACTGGAATTTAAGTAATAATTTAACTACTCTTTACAAATGTTTAAAACTACATAACTATTTCCCAATAAGTTCACAGTAAATGTATTCCTTATTCATCAGATCCTGGTATGATCCCAATAATTCTAGTATCTACTAACTCCAGAAGTAGGATGGAAGAAAAGTCAACAGGAAAGAGATAGTGGTCTCAATCAATTTAAACAAGTTAAAATGTTTACTTTTCTAGTCATGAAAGAAGACATGACCATCTGATCACATTGCTGACACTGGAAGAGGCTGTGCCAGTGAGCAGCCTGAGACTTGAACTTCATCTGCTTCCCTGAAAGAATGCATCACAGCAGGTATTCACAAAATGTCAGGGGAATAACCCAACGAGTAAAAATGACAGGATAAATTAGTATCTAAGATCCTTCCAACCCCAAAATGTGCCTTTTTTGTAGCTCTCATAATGCAATCTTAGAATTTAAGATTCTGGTGTCTATTGTTATAAGTTTAGAATGTAAGGATACAGGACACCTAAAAAACTAGTAAATATTGAAAAAGTAACTAAATATATTCAATTCTAAGGGCTTCCCATATTGTAATTCTAATGCCTCTACACATACCCAGGAGACTGATTAGGAAGGAATATTAAGTGTGGACTATCTCAGCATTTTCCTATTGCAGCTATTTTAGGGGCAAATGGCATTATTTAAAATCATAATTCATTACTAATCTTATTGTCTCCCTGTTCCCAGACAGACTCACTGTTTGAACCCTCTGGGCAGGCCTGGAGGTGTAGGGCCTAGTTTCATCACAAAAGTGGGAGACACCATGGTAGTCATTTACCATTGCTTTGGGGAGATATATTATCCTTGAGGCCTGTCGCTACAGGAAAGAGTTTGCTTCAGCTCTTTTTGCTTTCAAATTCTCTTTGGGCTTTCCAGTAAGTAGACCTTTAATACAGATTGTCTTCCAAAGTAATGTTAGGCTGGAAACTTTTCTAATTTTATCTCATCTCATTCTATCCCAATCTTTTCCCATTTTCTCAGCTCCCAGTTTCAAATCTAGTTGAAGGATTCAAATGCTTCAAAGAGGCAGTTGTGGGGCAGCTGGGAGGCTTCATTGCTGCCAGTTCTTGCAATGACAGGGGACTTACAGATGTGCAACCTATTCATAAGAGATAGTTTCCCTCATCGTCACCCTAAAGATAAAGAGGGCGATCAATCCACTTTGATCTCACTTGTATAACGTTTTTAGTAACCAAATGCTTCACACTTTCATACACTGGTATCTTGACTTTAAATAAAATAAGACAATACTTGGTGAACATGCCACCGTGCATTCTGTACTAGCTGCTGCACTATAAAAAGCCATGTTATCGCACCCAGACTTTTATTTTAAGCAAGCCCTTAAAGACCTTTGGGGTTTCAGACCACAGTGACATCTGAATAACGACGACATTTTTTTCCCCAGCGTTTGCAAATTTGAGTCGCACTTGAATCATACTTGTTTTTGATCAGTATCGTTTTAGAAAAAGGATTCCCAGAGCAGTCCATTCCGCGAAAGGTGAGAACTTTAAAAGTACATCTGGATTAGAAAAACTTACTCCACAAGTAAACCAGCAGAGGCAGAAACAAGCTGCTGAGAGTTGGCCAGAAGGGGCGCGGGCTCCGGGAGGGTAGCTGTCTGTGTCCTCTGAACTGCTGGTTAAAGCTATCTTTAGAGTGGCTGTGCGTTACTCCGGGGCAGCTGGGCACTTTGATGCCGCATCTTGCCAGTTTCCACAGACCTTAATTGATCACCCACAAAACTCTGTGCACTGACTGCAGGATAGGGAGCAAAGCATTCACAGTCTCTGAATCCAAAGCCCAGAGGTACTGCAGGCTGGGCCGGTCTGGGCGGGAAGTAGGAGCCCAGCATCCCGGGCTGCACGTCCCGCCTCGGTGTCCCCCGGGCTCCTCAGGGACCGGCTGGCGGTGGCGAGGGGCAGGTCGGCCCAGGGCGGCCCGAGGCTGCTGGCTCCTCCCGGGGGCGGGCTGCGCCAATTCGCGGGCGGGAGGAGGAGCCGCGGCGCGAGCAGGAGCCGCGCGGAGAGCGCTCGAAAAAAACGGCCGGCGCCTAGTCCTCCGCGCGCTCGCCTGCTGCGCTCCGCCCAGGGCTGCGGCCACCCGCGCTCGGGTCACCGCCTCGGGACTCCGCGGACCGCGCGGCCGCGAGGGGAGATGTCGGGCGGCCGCAGGAGGGGCAGCGCCCCCTGGCACAGCTTCTCCCGGTTCTTCGCTCCGCGCAGCCCTTCCCGGGACAAGGAAGAGGAAGAGGATGAGAAGCCGGGGACCGGCCAATCGGGCCGGGGCGCCGCCAGGTGGGAGCCTCGCGCGTCTGGGCGTCCGGGTGTCGGGGGCGGCCGCGCTCTGGATCCTTCCTCCTTGCGCGACTTTCCTCCTCTCCCCCGGGGCTTCTGTCGGGGAAGTTTTGCTCCCCGAGGCCCTGCGCGCGCTTCCTTTCCCGCCGCCCTCGCACGTCCGTCTGTCCCCTCCACTCGCGTCCACCCAGCAGTGGCCGAGGGAGAGCCTCACCTCCTCTCTGGTGTTTTGCCATCTTGATTAAAATTTCTCCAAACGAGCCTTAAAAGAGTAACAATTAGATGTTCCCAGGAGTCCAAATCTGAAGTCCTTGCTATAGATTGTTTACGGTTTAAATGATGCCGCCCCTCTTTTCCTCCCACCTCTCACTTGAAGTGTCTGTCTGTTTGAAACTCGCAGATTCCAGAAGGGCTGGAGCTGTCTTGCTTTAAGCTTTAGAATGTGCCCCTTCTTCATAATCCTTTCCTTCCTTCACCTGCTACTGTAAAGATTGACACCTAAAAGACTTGGCTCCTTAAAATGCCGGCTTTGAATCTCTTCAACCTTCCTGAAAGGGGAAGAGGAGGTAAATGAAATACAACTCGCTGTTTTAAACTTTGTGTGTGTGTGTTTGTTCTCTTTTTGAGAACTGAGGCCAACACTCCACCTTAAATTGGGCTAGAAGAGCTTGTAACCCGTGTCCTTGGAAGGTTGCCCTCTAGAGAACCGTATTTACCTTAGGCACTAAAGACTTGATAGTGGACTTCAAAGAAAAATGGATAGGAAACAACTGTGACTGAGGAAGTTTCGTTGCTATTCCGGGTTTGTAATCTGATGTTAGGTAGTCCTTTTGTGTTCCTTGGTTTTCCTAATTTTGAAACATTTCAATATAATCACCTGTTGGTAAAATCCATCTTTCCCAGAAGGTTTCAAGTGTAATTGATTGGTTATTCTACTTGGAAATAGAACACTTTTCAGGGACTATTGTCCTGATTGTTGACAGTCTAATATTAGAAGTTTTACAGTAGTTAAAATCAGTTTTGAAATCTGACAGGTCTCACTCAGGATGTGAACTAGTTAAGAGGACCTGTGGTGCCTGCCATAGCTGTTATGTTGGGTGATATGAAGGTAGTCTTAGAAGTCACAAGTACTGAGAGCAAGTTGGAAACTTGAGTCTATTGGAAAGCTGTAAGCTGGTCAATTGGAGGTTCCTATCATCAGCATAGTCCTGAAATCCTTCCTGGGCCCCGGCCTCTTTGTCCTTCCCTAAGGCACACTCCTCCCTTCTGAACTCTTTTCTGCCTGGACTGACAGCTCTAGCATCTAGGTCCTGTCACCTATCCCTTCTCTAATTCTCATCACCACCCATAGGCACAGGCTGTGGCTTTTTACAATGGAATGTTTAATTGTGCTTATTTGAGCACTAATTTTGTCCTCATCTTTTCAGAACTGGCCAGATGTTAAGGGGATTGCAGCTAATCCCTTGTGTGGGTGTTTTGCAGTTTTATATTGGCCTAAATCTTTCTTTTCAAGGATATAAACAAACACAAAGCCTGTATTGAAAGTGTAATGAAACAAATGGAATTGCCCAGTACAGTACCCAGTGTCCCAGTAATACACCACCCTGGTGTTAACAAGATTGGGAACAGAATTGGGATTTGTCACTGTGAACTTACTGCAAAATGAAAGGGTGTTTTGGTTGTTCTCTTTGTGGGAGTAAACCTTTTAGTGCTAGTAAGAGTGGTTTACCTTTTGTAGGCAGAGTGTAAGATGCCCAAGTAAAAGACCTTTTTTTTCCCCTTCTCTCAAGGATCTATGAGAAGCCAAGATCACAGGAAAACAGTAATGCCAACCTTAGCATGTCTAGAACTCTTAAGATTTACAGAGTAATATTGGGCACAACTTTTGACAAACGCAGATGATCAGAATCTTTATTTTACCCTAAGAAACAGCTTTAAAGAGAGTTACAAAATTACATAGCTACTTTTCATTTAAATCCTATCCTGTGCCTGTAGCTCTGAGGTCCCTTAACATACATACATGAAGGATTAATATCTGTATTGTGTGTGTGTGTGTGTGTGTGAATTCTCTCAGACTTGTGTTGTACAACCTCTTGTTCTGCCTGAACTGGCTGTATTGGCTTATGTGCACTTGTGCACTTTATTATTTAGCTTACTCGTGACTCAATACAAAACAGGATATACATTTCTTTTCTCTTCTTTTTTTTTTTTTTTTGGTCTTTTTTGAAATAGGGTCTTCCTATAGCCCTAGCTGGAACTCAATATGTAGACTAAGCTGTCCTTGAACTCACAGAGATTTGCCTGGGAGAGTGCTGGGACGAAAGGTGTGTGCCACCATGCCCAGCAGTATATACATTTCTTTTTTTAAAAAATATTTTTTTATTATTTTTATTTTATGTGTATAAGTGCATGTATGTGAGTGCACCCGTGTTGTGCAATGCCACGGAGGTCAGAAGAGAGCTTTGGATTCCCCTGGAACTGGAGTTAAGGATGGTTCTAGTTGCCACATGGGTGCTGGGAGTTGAACCCGGGTCCTCTGCAAGAGCAGTCAGTGCTATTAAGTTCTGAGCCGTCTCTCCAGCCCAGGATATACATTTGTTAAGAACAGAATTCCTTAGCAACTTCTTAAGAAGAGAATTAAAATTAAACATAAGTATTACCACAATACCAATAAAAGTCCAATTTATGCCATTATCTCCACAGATAATTGCTTGCTACCTATGAAAACAAAAGGCATATGGGATGAACTGGGAAAATAGGAATTTTTGGAAGGTTGCCAGGACTCTACCATTCTGCTCTACAACTTGATAAAGGTTCTTTAATATTTCCCTGTTTGAATCATAGGGAAACCTTGGTTTTATTGTGTGGCATGACTTGCTTGGGCTTTACTTGATGTGAACACATCATTTATTTACTGAGTTTGCTGCTGCTCTGTTCTCATTAACCTCTAATAAAAAAAAATCAAGCATCACCATAGTGGTATATTTAAACTCAGGTATGAGCACTCAAGCTGGTTGACCAGATCCAAGAAGTGCTTATGTCAGCATAGATTATGTAGAAATGAAAGATACAATTAAAGTTTTCATAGAAAACTTCTTAAGAACTCCCAGAGATCTGTGGATCTCATTCTGATAGTCATTGTAGAATCAGCCCAGTGTGTGGGCACCTAAGACTGAACTTCTTAGAAGTCATAGAGGAGACCAGTGGGGCCTTATGGCAGGGGTGACTTTAAATGGCCTTCCTAGAGTTGATGATGTTTCTGTAAGCAGAGAACTTAGCCAGGAGGAGGTGAGAAGTAGGGAACAGGTATTATAGGCAATGCATGGGCCTGCAGGGATTTATGATCTGTCAGGGGATGTGTGTTTTGGTAGGGCACAGTAAAAGAGGCATCCAGAAAGTTAGGTTGGAGTTGAGTCATGAAGGTATCTATAGAGAATGTTTGGCCCTTCATTGAGAAGGAATGTTTGCAAAAGTCTGTTAAATAGATATTGTTGGAATGTAAAACTTTGTCAGCATAGATCTGCCTTCTTATTTTATTTTGCTTTGAGAAAATGATTGCTAGTTTGTTTCTTTGCTCTATCACATATGATGAGCCTGTGTAAAATGAGTTCCATGCTATGCTTAGACGTTTATAAGGAGTGAAGAGCATTTATTGAGGACAGATTATGTGCTCAGGGGTGCCACAGTTATCGCCGTCTTACAGTTGAGGAAACCGAGGATAGGGGAGTGCTTAATGGTAGATGCTGTCTGTATTTTGGATGCTGGAAGTTCTTATACCGGACTCTTCTGTCCTTTGCGGGATATTTGACATCCATGATCCTGCCAACTAATTGCTAGTGGCATCTCTGGTCATTGGACTAACTCAGAACACCTCCATGCAGGTGGGTGGGAGGGAGAGTGGTACCATTCCCAGTGGAGAATGATTTACCTCAGATCCTGAGAGGAGTAAGTTTCAAGGGTAGGATTAAAATTTAGGTCTCTTTTACTCCAAAGCTCTGGTTCTTATTTTCACATTATCCCCTCCTCCATTCTTTAAGTTTGAGACAGAGTCTCCCTGTAACCCCAGCTGGCCTGGAAGATCCACCAGCCTCTGCCTTCTGAGTCCTGGGATTAAAGGCCTAAGCTACCATGCCTGGTCCATTTCCTCCACTCTTCAAACTCGTACTCCTTCAAAACACATTCAAGCTAGGCATGGCAGTGCAGGCCTTTAATCCCAGAACACTGGGAGGCCAAGGCAGGTAGATCTCTTGAGATTGAGGCCAGTCTGGTCTATGTACTGAGTTCCAGGCCAGCTGTGACTACAAGGAGACCTCCCAAAACAAGCAAACAAACAAAAATCACATTCAAAACTTGGCATGGAGATCACACCTGGAATCTGATATCACAGAGGTTAAGGCAGCTTAACTTTAGGTTAAATAAATGAGTTCCACATCATACTGGGCTACAATATGAGACCCTGTCTCAAAAACAGAAGTACAAAAACCCACATTTGAATATACAGGTCAATTGTATCTTCTTCACTTTGTTACAGAATGGGTACCTTGAGTTTTGCCTCTGGGTAAACTGATGTAGTGTCAGTGATAGAAGAAAGTAAGAAAGCATCCCTAAACCTGAGGTCAGGGATTGTGTCTTATCTAGGTATCTCCTTTGTCAAACTCAAAGAAAGAGTGAATCTGTGCTTGGTGATTAGAGCATTAAAAAGAGCATTAGTGATTTTCAGCCAAGAGTAGAACTTTCTCCACCCTGAAAGTGACCTTTTAGAAACTGTGGTCAGAGGGGTGTTTTTGCTTGTTATCACTACTGAGGGTGTTGAATGACAATGGTCAAGAAGTTAATGGGCTGTAGAGCAGGAGATAGGATTCTTCTCATGGACTTCCTCAGAGCTATGGACTCTAGGTTTGCCACAATGGATAAGGACAAATCTGTGCTATACCAGAGATTCATATGTGGAGTAGTAAAAATGACTAGCAGATTCTAGAAATCCTCAGAGGTCTGTATCT